CCCCCCCCCCCCCCCCCCCGGGTTTTGGAAAGCAATGTCTAGTCACCTATCTGTATAAAATGCCTTGTTTGGTATTCTGGGAACACCTACTGTAAGGCTAGGTTCACACCTATGCAGTGTGTTTGCTCCATTTCTGCAGTGCTTTTTGTGGTGAGTTTTGTGTTTTTTTTTACACTTTTTTTTTTTTTTTTTTTTGTGTTTTGTGTTTTTTAATTTTTTCTTGTTGCTAGGCAGATTAAAATGCAAAATGCATCAAAAACACGTTGCATGCTTTTCCGCAGCGTTTTCATTTACATCTATAGTACCAAAAATTTAACTTTTTGCGTTTAAAAAAGTTCCGGACCCTTTCCAAAAAATGCACCGGGTGAAAACGCGGAGCTGTGAACCTGTCCCATAGGAAATCGGGTTAAATGGACTGTAGTGCATTTCTGAAAAACACTGCGGAAACCGCTTAGGTGTGAACCTAGGGTAATGCTGTTCTTCATACATAGAAATCCCGAATTGACCAAAGTCACACAATCGCACCAAGCGTAGCAGAAATGCATGTTTTGGCACATGATACCTGTGGGGCAGCCCATTCACCTGAATGGGCTGCCCTATGCGTGACAAGTGCACCTTTTCAAGGGTAGAGCTTGGCTTGCTTTTTCTGTGCATTTGTAGTACGTTTGCCATGCACAAAAACGCACGTCTGCCGGTCGCATTTGGGATGCCAAAATTCCCAAGTGTAGCTCGGGGTAAAGTTTCAGTACCACAAGCGCTAACCCCGAGCTACACTCGGGAATACCCTGCAGTGTTGCTCCGGGATCTCTTCTTCACTTACCTTGTCTTTCGCTCCCGCAATGTCCCTCCTGCAGTGTCCCCTGTAATGTACTTCGGCCGATGCTGGCATCTGTCTTCCAGGTTCCGTTCCCTGCGACGTCAGGACGTACGGGGGACAGAATGGCGGGAAATTTTAAAATGTGAAAAAGTGACATTCACTAAAATCACATAGTAAAACATTCCTGTATCAAACCATTTCACATACATTTTGTCCCGAGTGCTTTGTCCTGTGCCCTGCCTGCATTTTTACTGTTCTTTCTGCCTGGAAACTGAGAAACGGCCATGGCGTCCAAAAAGCGTCTCTTTAGGTCAAAATCGGGTTTTAGATCAGCTAGAGAACAGCGATAGTAAATCAGAACCACTTGCAGAATTGAGTGATAATGTCATCAGACACTGAAAACGATTCTGCGACTGAATTCAGCGATGTGTGAACTTGGTGCTATATTTCAAATTTCAGAGTTTTTGGTTTGATTATATTATTTAATTACATTTATTATTATTTTTTATGATTATTTATTATATTATAATTTATGATTTTGTGTTTCAAATTTTAACATACCCGGGATGTTTACTAGACTCTTGTTCGGACAGATTTCAGTGAGTTATTCCTGAAAATTACAGGCCTACAATACAAAAAATACATATTCCCATGCAAAAAAAAGTACCACTTTGAGCACAGAAATACATAATCAGACTAATAGGGAGGCTACTGATTTATTCTGGCCACTGAAATGAATTAACATTCAAGCGCTAAATGCGCATAGTGTTAAAATGTGCAAACCTGTCATATGCTCTTTTTTTTTTTTTTTTTTTTTTTCAAACTACTGCTGCTCCTGGACGCACTGGCCCTGGGTTTTTTCCTGCTGGTGAAGGACCCTGCTACTGAAAGCTTCTAAAAGTCTATGTGCGCATGGACACATAGGATAACATGGAGAGGCATTTGGAAGCAGTAAAAAAACAAAAAAAATGCCCAGCGCCCCTAAAAGTGGCTGCAAAGACGCCCTGTGTGTATGAGGCCTAAAAATCTAAGGAAATAAGTAAACGCATGCAAAAAATTTGTAATATGTAATGCAAAGTTTATTGGAACATGTGCTTTAATGAATGTGTCTTAATGGAGGTCTGAATGAACCTTCACTGAAACCTCTCAGGACAGAACCAGAGGAGCACCGTTCCTGACATGCTTGTGTGAAGGTACAGCTCCAGGGCTTACTCTGGGACAATTCTGTGCCATCCTGATACTTCACTACTGCAGAAGGGCTGAGCCATCTTTATTTAGGCATCATCCACGGTCAGTTCCTATATTCTGGACTGAGATGCTGATTCAGAGATGACACAATCATATAAATCCTGGTGCCTGTGTGGTTCTTGCCTGTGTTCACAAATGTCTTGACGCTCAGATCAGCCCCTGCTGCAGCCTCTAATCTCGTGACTTTCTGCAAAGTTGGTGTGATCACTGAGAAAGAGAAGACTGATGAAATGCTTCTTCCCGCCTGCAGCAGACTGCATTATTTCAGCCTAGGCAAAATCATTGAATTTAAAGTAGTATTAAACCCCCCCAAAAATGTATTGCATTGCAGCTTACATTTTTTTTTTGATGTGGCGGCTGCTTTCGTTTTTTTTTTTTTTTTTTGTCTTTATTTTCACCTGTTGATCTCACCAGTGACTTTTTTTTTTTTTTCTTCAACTTCCTTTAACAGACCAAGTTGTCCAGCACAACTGGCAGTTACAGGGATGGGACAAACAATTCAAACTGACAGGGGTGCTTATAATGATCAGATTTTATATATTTATCTTGAAAAGAAAACAAAATCTTGAAATGCCAGTTAGCTGAAGTTCAGTTTCAATCTGTTAAGTCAAGTCCTACTAAATCTGCTACTACCTTCTCCTCAGACTGACAATGCTGCTGTCCAAGGGTGACCCTGTGACTCCTCCATGTGGAGAAGAGACACCATAAGACAGGAAATGTGTTACTGGCCAGATAAAGGAAGAAAGCCTAAAAAGGAAGACTAATGCAACCACCACATGTAAGGATTGCTAAGCTTGCAATATACAGGCATACCTCGGTTTACCAATTTAATGCGTTTTTCTCTCGGACATTTCGTATTGAGAAGAATTCGTAAACCGAAATGCAGTTTTCCATTGAAAAACAATTAATCTGTTCAGGGGGTCAGAAAAAAGTAAAAAAAAAAGTCTTGTATGTTCAAAACTCTTTATAAAGTGCACTTTAAAGGCATAAAGGGACATGAGTAAAAAAATTCGTAAATGCATTGAAAACCAATTCATCCGTTCTGGAGGTCACAACAAAGTAAAAAATTAGTCTTCTGTTCAAAACTTTTTTTTTATAAAGTGCACTTTAAAGGCATGAGGCTGGCACTATAAACCTCCCAGGCGCAATGCATCCTGGGGAAACTTCGTATTGCAAAAATTATTTGTAAACCGAGGCATTATTTTCAATGGATTTTCATTCGTAAACCGAAAATGACGTTAACCAAGGCATTTTGTAAACCATTTTCAACAGCTCAAGGGCTGCTTTTTGTTTTAACCACTTTAGGACCGCCCCATAGCAGATATACTGCTACAGGGCAGGCCTCCTGTGCAAAATCACGTATAAAAACATGATTATGCACTTCTGCCTAGCGCTCGCCGCTTCTGTTGTGATTACTCACAGAAACCGATCAGCAGGTGGCAGCCAATGGATGTCTGCCGGTACCCACCAATTGTTAGGCAGAGACACAGAACGGAGCTCTGCCTATGTGAACAAGGCAGAGCTCCGTTCTGACAGGGGGAAGTGATTGATCCTGTGTCCCTGCAGTGCAGGGAATACGATCCATCACATCCCTTAGTAAAAGCAGCACAGAGTGTACACAAAGCTAAGCACACAGTTAACCCTTTGATTGCCCTGGATGTTTAACTCCTCAGCCATTGTCAATGCACATACAGTGTATATTTTGTGCGCTGATCACTGTACTAGTGTCACTGGTTCCCACAAATTGTCAAGTGTCAGCAAGTGTCCGACTGTCCACCGCAATATCGCAGTCCTGCAATAAGTCAGCAATTGCCACCATTACTAGTATAACAAAAAATAAATAAAAGTCCCAGTATGTATACTTAAGCTTATTACAAATGTCTATATAAAAGAAAATCTGGGTAGCAGTGACCACAACATGATTTAATTTATTGTTAGCTGTAAACAGCAAGCTCATAGGGGAAAAATAAAAACACCCAGTTTTAAGAGAGCTAATTTTCCAAGGCTGAGAGCTGCTCTCCAAGACTTAGATTGGGAGGGAATATTGGCATCAATGAACACAACACAGAAATGGGAGCTTTTCAAAAAGACTGTATGTGAACAAACTGCAAAATATTTTCCCATGGGCAACAAGTTTAAAAGGCCAAAAACCCAAACCTATGTGGCTTACGGCCAAAGTTAAAAAAAGCTACAGATAATAAGAAAGGAACTTTTATTAAATATAAAAATGAAGGAACAGTATCATCGTTTAAACATTACAAAGAACATAACAGAATATGCAAAAAGGAAATAACTCTTGAGAATAAACGACAGATTGTAAAAGATAGCAGGACTAACCCCCCAAAAATTTTTCAAATATATGAATAGTAAAAAGGTCCGGTCTGAGCATGTGGGCCCTTTACAAAATAATATAGAGTGGGTGACTGGGGACAAAGAGAAGGCAAATATATCAAATACCTTTTTCAGCTCTGTGTATACAAAGGAGCAGGGTGGAGCTCTTGTTCATAATGGGCATGGTATTGATGCAGCTCCAGATGATCCATATTGGCTCACAATTGATATGATCCAAAAATATTTGGAAAGAATAAAAGTGAATAAATCACCTGGACTGGATGGCATACACCCACGGGTCCTTAACGAATTGAGCTCTGTCATTTCAAAGCCATTGTTTCTAATTTTTAGGGACTCTTTAATGACTGGCATAGTACCACTGGATTGGCGCAAAGGCCAATATGGTTCCAATATTTAAAAAGGGGTCACAATCTTTACCAAGTAATTATAGACCTATTAGTTTAACTTCTATAATTGGGAAGATACTGGAGAGTTTAATAAAAGACAACATAGATGAGTTCTTGCTGGAAAAAATATTTTAAGCAACAAACAGCATGGATTTATGAAAGACAGAAGTTGTCAAACAAATCTGATTTCTTTTTATGAGGAGGTGAGCAAAACCTTGGACAGAGGGGTGGCGCGTGTGGACGTGGTATACTTGGACAGAGGGGTGGATGTGGTATACTTGGACAGAGGGGTGGCGGTGGACGTGATGTACTTGGACAGAAGGGTGGATGTGGTATACTTGGACAGAGGGGTGGCGGTGGACGTGATGTACTTGGACAGAAGGGTGGATGTGGTATACTTGGACAGAGGGGTGATGGTGGGGACGTGGTATACTTGGACAGAGGGGTGGCGGTGGACGTGGTATACTTGGATTTTGCAAAAGTGTTTGACGCAGTTCCTCACACACGGCTAATGTGTAAGGTAAAGTCTACAGGCTTGGAAAAATCCGTATGTAAATGGATAGAAAACTGGCTAAAAGATCGTATTCAGAGAGTAGTGCTTAATGATTCCTACTCTGAATGGTCTAGGGTTGTCAGTGGTGTACCCCAAGGTTCAGTGTTGGGACCCTTACTTTTTAATATATTTATAACCGATATAGGGGCTGGGATTAAAAATCCCATTTCAGTCTTTGCAGATGACACCAAGCCAGGGGTGGACTGACAACTCATGGGGCCCCCGGGCAATAGGGGATCATGGGGCCCTTGTTTCCTTGCCCAAACTCAAAAAAGCCTATGAAAAAAGGTACCAGGGGCATCTCATGGGGCCCCCTACTGACCCCGGGGCCCTCAGGCAGTGCCCTTAGTTTCCCATGGTCAGTCCACCCCTGCACCAAGCTGTGCAGTGGAATAACGTCCTTTCAGGATGTCTCCAACTTACAAGCCGACCTCAATGCTCTGTGTAATTGGGCAACTATGTAGCAAATGAGGTTTAATGTTGATAAATGTAAGGTTCTGCACTTGGGGGATAAGAATATGCATGCATCATACATACTGGGGGGGGGGGGGGGGGGGGTACAACTGGGGAAATCAATGGTGGAGAAGGATCTGGGAGTTCTGGTAGATCACAAGCTTAATAATGGCATGCAATGCCAAGCTGCGGTTTCTAAAGTGAGCAAAATCCTCTCTTGTAATAAAAGAGGTATAGACTCCAGAGAGAGAGATATCATATTACCCCGGTACAAATCATTAGTAAGACCTCATCTGGAATATGCAGTTCTTTTTGTGAATTGGTGCCCAAAACTGAACATTGGGGAACTGGAGAAAGTACAGAGAAGGGCAACCAAACTGATAAGAGGCATGGAGGAGCTCAGCTATGAGGAAAGATTAGAGGAACTGAATTTATTCTCTCTTGAGAAGAGGAGATTAAGGGGGGATATGATCTCCATGTATAAATACATCAGTGGTTCATATAGTGAACTCTGTGTAGAGTTATTCACATCTGAGCTCATCACAGAGGACAAGGGGGCACTCTTTACATCTGGAGGAAAAGAGATTTAATCTCCAAACGCAGAAAGGTTTCTTCACAGTTAGAGCTGTGAAAATTGTAGAATAGACTCCCTCAAGAGTTTGGTTCTGGTCAGCTCAGTGGATTGGTTTAAAAAGGCCTGGATTCTTTCTTGGATACACAGAATATAACTGGATAAAACATTTATAGGTAAAGTTAATATCGGATTGCCTCTCAGAGGATTAAGAAGAAATGTTTTTCCCCTGCGGGAGCAAATTGAATCCTGCTTTGCTGGCTTTTTTTTTTTGCCTTCCTCTGGATCAACTGTGGATACAGGATTATTCCTTTTTTTTTTTTTTTTTTTTTTCTAACGATTTTGTGCAAACCAATATACACTTATTGGGATTTTTTTTATTCACCAAAAATATGTAGCAAAATACATTTTGGCCTAAATTTATGAAGAAATTTGATCATTTATTTTTTTTTATTGGATATGTTTTATAGCAGAAATTAAAAAAAAAGTTTTGTTTATAGTTAAACTAAAAAAAAACACAGTGGTGATCAAATAGCACCAAAAGAAAGCTCTGTGGGGGAAAAAAAAGACATTAAATTTAATTTTATATACAGCATTGCTTGACTGCGCAATTGTCAGTTAAAGTAATGCAGCGCCATATTGCAAAAAATAGCCTGGTCAGGAAGGGGGGTGAATCCTCTGGGGGGCAAGTGGTTAATTATACTGTTGCTGCCTATTGGGATATGTCAGAAATGTATTAATGCAAAATGACAGGTACTCTCTCAAATACTGAAGGAAGAATAAATATGACAGCCTCAGAGCTTGTATCTTAAAAACTGTTTTCTACGTGGGTAGTTACCACGTTTCCATCCAGATAAGTTCACTTCCGGGCACATTACAAGGTCTTTCTGACTTTAACATAGCTGCAGTGTTGCCCTCTGAAAGACCAGTAGAGCTAAGGTAATAGTTATAGTTCTAAAACAAACTTTTCTTTTTAACATATTAATTCTACACAAAACTTTTCTTGTACCCTTTCTGGCTCTTTGATATGATTTTGTAATGCCTGTTACTTTTCATTTTTTTTGTAGCAGAACATTTGCTATGTTCACTCACTTTGTGCTATCTGGGCTCAGATTCTATAAATTATTCTCTTTTCCGCTTTTTCTTTTTTATCAAGAGTAGATATTCTTTTTAATCTTCAGCTCCACTCAACAGCCACACCATGTTCGATCCTGACCCGGGCTCTGCTATAAGTAAAACATCATCCATGTCTATTTATTTTTTTCAGTAATGTCAGGGGTTCTGGACTAAACGTATCCTCCTTTTTTTATTTGAGATTCCATGAAATGTTGATTATTTACATGGGTGCTCAAAAAGGAAATGCCAGAGGTTTGTATCACCCAATGGCAGCTCTGTGATTGGAATGGTAGAAATCAGAAATGTTTTCCAAATGAATGTATTTACAGTTATCTCTTGCTTTTTAAAGTAGAACTCCAGCTAAAGTTTAACTAATATTAACCCCTTCAGGCCTAAGGGTAAAACAAAGCTTAATGCCTAAGCACAATTTTGCAACTTTGACGTGGTAGTAAAACCATACATATCATCACAACTACTCCGTGTATCCAGGTGAATTATACTGCATTTTTTTTCAGGACAAATTGGGCTTTCATTTGGTGGTAAATGGTAATGGATATCTCCTTAATTTAGTTTTTTTCTATTATCAACAGAAAACTGGCCCAAAATAGTAAAAAAAAAAAAAAAAAAAATTTTTTTTTTTAAATTTAGCTGTGTGTTGCTTGTTACTACCAACACCAAAGAACAACCCAAAATGAATTTTCCAGCTATTGACGATTGCAGCAATACCACGTGTGTGTGTGTGTGTGTGTGTGTGTGTGTTATTTGTACCCACAATACAACCTAGAAACAATAGTGCGCTTTTTTTTTTTTTTTTTTTTAAATTTAAACCTAAAACACACTGACACTAACTGACACTGATACCAATTTAGAAAAAAAAAAAAATTCCTGACCTTTTGACCTTGACCTTTAGCTCTGACCTTGACCCAAACACTAACCCTGGCACTGAATTAGATCAAACCTTGATCTAGGTATTTTTTACTTTATTTTTTCTTTTAGTTTTTAATATTTATCTTTTTTTTTTTCTCTAAGGAGAGAGAGAGAGAGAGAGAGAGAGAGAGAGAGAGAGAGAGAGAGAGAGAGAGAGAGAGAGAGAGAGAGAGAGAGAGAGAGAGAGAGAGAGAGAGAGAGAGAGAGAGAGAGAGAGAGAGAGAGAGAGAGAGAGAGAGAGAGAGAGAGAGAGAGAGAGAGAGAGAGAGAGAGAGAGAGAGAGAGAGAGAGAGAGAGAGAGAGAGAGAGAGAGAGAGGAGACTCTCCTGTATTCAGAAAGGAAAAAAAAAACAAGGGGAGCAGGGATCTACAGTGACTGATCACTGTGATAGCCAATCAGAGGCTATCACAGCAATCATGTGACCTGGAATCGGCAGTGCTGGGTCCCGATCCTTAGAACGGGGCTCTCGGTGACACCTCGGTCTTTGTGCTGGGAACATGGTGTGCTGCGTGCTCCCAGCTCAAAGAGAGGTACGTAAATATGCGGGCCCATGGAAGAAAGCCCAGTTCTGTGAGGCCACATATTTCGTGTGCATCAAGGGGTTAACATTGCTCCCTCCCCCCTCCTAACACCTATGCAGACTAACCTGTGTAAAATAGATAGTACAGTACAGCCCTGGCCAAAAGTTTTGCGAACGACACAAAATAATTTTCACAAAGTCTGCCGCGTCAGTGTTTTTAGAACTGTTTTATCAGATGGTACTATGGTATGCTGCAGTATCATTACAAGCATTTCAAGTGTCAAAGGCTTTGATTGACAGTTACATTACGTTTATGCAAAGTCACTATTTGCAGTGTTGACCCTTCTTTTTCAAGACTTCTTCTCAACTTCTGGGCCACATTCTGACTGATGGCAGCTCATTCTTGCATAATCACTTCTTGGAGTTGATCAGAATTTGTGGGTGGTTTTTTTTTTTTTTTTTTTTTTTTTTCACCTGCCTCGAGGATTGACCAGAAGTTCTCAATGGGATTAAGGTCTAGGGAATTTCCTGGCCATGGACCCAACATTTCGATGTTTTGTTCCCCAGGCCACTTATCACTTTTGCCTTATGGCAAGATGCTCTATCATGCTGGAAAGACATTGTTCGTCTCCACTTGGATGGTTGGGAGAAATTGCTCTCGGAGAATGTTTTTGTACCATTATTTATGGCTGTGTTCTTTGGCAAATTTGTGAGTGAGCCCACTCCCTTGGCTGAGAAGCAACCCCACACATGAATGGTCTCAGGATGCTTTTCTGTTGGCATGACACAGGACTGCTGGTATCGCTCCTCCTTTTCTTCTCCGGACAAGGTTTTTTTCCAGATGCCCCAAACAATTGTAAAGGTTATTCACCAGAGAAAATAACTTTACCCCAGTCCCTAGCAGTCCAATCTCTGTACCTTTTTGCAGAGTATTACTCTATCGCTGATATTTTTCCTGAAGAGAAGAGGATTCTTGCTGCCCTTCTTGACACAAGGCCATCCTCCAAAAGTCTTCACCTCACTGTGTTTTCAGATGCACTCATACCTGCCTGCTGTCATTCCTGAGCAAGCTCTGCTCTGGTGCTGCCCCGATCCCGCAGCTGAATTAACTCTAGGAGACAGTCCTGCTGGACTTTTTTGGGAACCCTGAAGTCTTCTTCACAACAATTGAACCACTCTTCTTGAAGTTCTTGACGATCCAATAAATGGTTGATTTAGGTGCAATCTTAGTAGCAACATAATCCTTGCCTGTGAATCTTTTTGTGCAAAGCAATGATGACTGCACATGTTTCCTTGCAGGTAACCATGGTTAATAGAGTAAGAACAATGATTTCAAACACCACCCTCCTTTTTAAAGCTTCCAGCCTGTTCTAACGTAGTGCGCAGTCAACGATTTCAGGTGTGATTTGTGAATTGAAACTGCACCTGAAATTGCATGTAATGAATATCAGCATCTTAACATGTGCGATTTGCTGCAGCGCGATTTCTAAAGTAGT